AGAGAAAAGAAAAGATAATACAGATATTACCCAATAGGTAAGAGAAAATATAATATAATGAAAATTTAATAAAAGTAAATGGGAAGCATGATTCTCCTTTCTGAATCTAAGGATTAGAAGAAGAGGAAAGAGGAAAGGTTAAAAAAGTTATAGATCACATAGCTAACAAAAATATTTTAAGAAAAATGAATGTAATATTTCTCCAGTAGCTATTAGCACTACTTTCTTATTGTTATTATAATTCAGAAGAACTTATGTTATGCTCACTAATCTTTACAGAGGAAGCAAGAGTCAACCAGATTTATAAAATTCCAAAATGAAATAAGAAAGCTACCCTAGACAGGAGTTGGAAAGTGAACTTGAAATTCATTTGGGCCAAGAATTTTTTTCAAATTATTTAATTCATCATTCTACCTAAATAAATTTTAGCGCTGCAATTCATGAGATGATTTCTCTGAAATATGTATTTGTTCCTTTAAAACATTCTCAAATCCCTTAATCACTGTATTACTCACCCTGAGGACTATTCACTTCCACAAGCTGTCCCTGAGGTACAATCATGTGAGTCATTTCTGTCTGTGTAGATGGAATTACTTGAAGCACCTGTCCATTTTCTGATGGGTCAGCTACAATCATCTTGGAAGCACAGACACACACAAAAAGTCAAATCAAATGCATATTGGTACAGTGACTTAACACACTTATCAATTAAAGGAATCATGGTGATGCTATTAGGTCAAAGGGTTGGACAGCTAGCCACATGGTTGGCAGTTCAAAATCACCAGCCACTTCATAGGTGAAAGATGAGGCTACTTGTTCCTGTCAAGGTTATAGCTTTGGAAATCCTATATAGGGGATTCAATATGATCTGGAATGGACTCAATGGTAGAGAATCATTATTTCTTCCATCTTATAAATAACACTTAAGACACATATAATGCTTTTCCCAAGCCTCGAAGCTTGTTCATGCTTAAGGGAGGATGAGTTCCACCAGGCAGTATGAATCTACAGTTTATAGCCTCAAACTGCAAATGGATCTTTATACATGCATTTCTACCTAATGCTTGACTTATCTGTGTGGCAATCATTTGTCCTATACTTTAAGTCATGTTCATTATTCTAAAAGATGGTTGCACTGATTTGATCATAAGTAATAACTTCTGAGTAAATATATAGGAGTACACCATATATATACGTTCAGCAGATAGGTGTACATATAGCTATCTACATATATATTTCTATGTGTAGATAGCTATGTTATGTAGCAGAGCAGTGGTTCTCAACCTATGGGGC